GTATATGATAGATAGAGATATATATATATTTTTTTTACACTTATTGTTATTGCTATTACCTAAGGGGGATACAATCCAACTAAATATTAGCAAAGGCACACTGACAGGTCCTCTTTATGGAGACATTAGGGGTCTCTAGGACCTCGAGGTGGAGGGCAAAAAAAAAATCACGCCATGCTATAGAGCCGCTGATCGGTTGTATGTGAAATAGCCGTTAACGGCTGTAAAAACGAGCGTGTCTTTCCTGCCCGTGCTAGGGGGGGCGCGCGCGAGCAGGAAAACAAATGCCGTCTGTAGGCGGCAACCCGATGATGCGAGTCTGCTGTCCATCCATTTTTTTTCTACAGGCGGACGACAACTGGTTAAACTGTACATTTTATTCAAATTTAAAAAAATAGGTAAACAAAAGAAAACAAGCCTTTGTCGTCATCATTCAAGATACACAGTATCGGGTGTGGACAAAAAGAAAACAGATGAGCAAGACAAGTGCTGAGTACGTATCGTAGTATCAGCATCCATTATAATATATATAAAGAAATAATAAAAAAAGAATAAAAATAAACCATATACATCAAACCTCCGGTAACTGCTTCCTTAGTGCGTAACTAGAAACCATGGGTTAGGTGCAAGTGGTGGCCGATACTCCAATGGAAAAAAAAGAAATACTATAACTGTATCAGACAATTACAGTATAAAACAGGGACACACTGCCATCCACAGGCTGTGGTGGCATTTGCAAGGCAAAAATACTGTTTTGTGAATGAAGTCTTTAGCTTGAAACCCATTAATACAGTATAGGTCACAACTGGTGGTTGCAAATTCGGCAACCACTCTGACTGATTCCCTATTGTCACTGGGGACCAAAGCGGTCAGTGACTGTTGGGATTTGGCATGTAGCGGCCATGCACATACAGGGACACACTGCCATCCACAGGCTGTGGTGGCATTTGCAAGGCAAAAATACTGTTTTGTGAATGAAGTCTTTAGCTTGAAACCCATTAATACAGTATAGGTCACAACTGGTGGTTGCAAATTCGGCAACCACTCTGACTGATTCCCTATTGTCACTGGGGACCAAAGCGGTCAGTGACTGTTGGGATTTGGCATGTAGCGGCCATGCACAATGTCAGCTGGTAGCAGTAAAAAAAAAAAAAAAAAAAAGACATTTATGAATGTATTCCTTTGCTGAAGAACATTAATATAGGGATTGCAATTGGAAAGGGGTTAATCACACTACAGATTGGGGGGAATATAAT